TATGTGGTGGCTTATAACTGCTCTAGATCCCAAGTTCCAAGTATCGGGCTGACACAGTACACGTAGAAACATAGTCAGAACACTCATACAGATAAAATACTTGTTTAAAAGTGCCAGGTGGCTCATGCCATTAATCTCAGCACTCTGTGAGCATTATTTCTGAGTTCAAGGCCAACCTGGGCTATATAGTTAGAACTTATCTCAGAAAAAAATGGGTGTCTATAATTCATGGGAGGTTCTTTAGGTTTTTGAGACAAGATTTTCTCTGTATTGCACTGGCTGTCCTAGCACTCAGCCCCAGTTGCCAATAGGGGTGACCTGGCCTCCAGGATGGGCCACAACTCTCTGGAGAGTGCCAGCTGCAGGCCAGGAGGAGCTGGGCAGCAGGACCTCTCTCTCTCTGCCTTACAATTGGGCTCCATGTGTCCTTGTAAGATGAGGGCAGCTATTTCATAAGGCCTGCTTTCTCCCAGATAGGAAGTGATGTCCCTCAAAGCCCTAGGGTAGAAGCTGCTCTAAAGGAGGGTTCCATTGCATCAGACTGCGGTCTTCACTTTTTCTCCCCCATTTTCTTTTAATAATTTAACTTTTTATTTTATGTTCCTTGGTATGAAGTGTCACATCCCCTGGAACTGGAGTTTGTAAGCTACCATGTGGATCCTCTGAAGAGCAACCAGTGGGCTTAACTGCTGAGCCATCTCTCCAGCCCTTCTCCTCCATTCTCAAAGAGTCTATTGCTTGGGTAGAACCAAAAAAACCAGAGCAGTCCCCTTCCCTTATCTGTGCCCAGTGAAGCTTCAGAGCACACCTCAGAGGGAAGTCTTTGCCCTACTACCCACCAGCCAGCCAGTTCTTTAGAGCAAGGTGGACCTCTGTGCTCCATGTCATCGTGTTTGCATGCTGGGGTCCTGTCACCTCCCCAACAGTTCATCTGGGCCATCTCCCATCAAGACTGAGTTCTGATGCACGCTTTCCTACCTGTCACCTGACACTCTTGGCCATCTCAGTCTTTGCCCGGCTGTGAGCTCCTGTCTACATAGTGATGATCACATAAGTTCGAGGACAGCAGCTATCCTGGTAGAGGCCTGGGCTGCCACCGAGGCTAAGATTCCCCAGGTTACAAACAGCACTCTTGTTTGTGTTTGGGGTACACATTTTGGAGTCTTGCTAACTGAGGTTGAGCCTCCACAGTCAGGACAGCTGAGTCTAACCTGTTGAGTGTTGGCATGATGCTCAGCTTCAGCTTGGAGAAGCCTGCCCTCCCTCCCCCCTCTCCCTCCCTTCCTCCCCCTCCCTCCCTCCCTCCCTTGTTGTTTGAGACAGGGTTTCTCTGTATTGCTTTGGAAGTTGTCCTAGATCGCTATGGAGACCAGGCTTGCCTCTCTGAACTCACAGAGATCGACCTGCTTCTGCCTCCTGAGTGCTGGAATTAAAGGCATGTGTCACCACTGTCTGGCTGCTTTTCATTGTTTCACACACACAAAACTCAGAATGTGCAGCTGCTGGCCCCAAAGCCTTTCTTTTTTTCTTTTTCCCAGATTTTTTTTTTATTTGAATTAGAAACAAGATTGTTTTACATGACAATCCCAGTTTCCTCTCCCTCCTCTCCTCCCCTACCCCCCCAACTAAAACCCTACCTATCACATATCCTTTCTGCTCCCCCTGGATGGCAAGGCCTTCCATAGGGTGTCATCAGAGTCTATCATATCCTTTGGGATAGGGCCTAGGCCCATCCCCGTGTGTCTTGGCTCAGGGAGTATTCCTCTATGTGGAATGGGCTCCCAAAGTCCACACCTATGTTAGGGATAAGTACTGAACTACTACAGGAGGTCTCGTAGATTTCCGAGGTTTCCTCACTGAAACCCATGTTCCTAGGGTCTGGATCAGTCCCATGCTGGTTTCCCAGCTATCAGTCTGGGGACCAAAGCCTTTCTTGAGGGAGATTTTGCATGGTGTGTTAGTGTGGCAGTTGGACTGTGACTTGTGTCAGTGGACTAGCCCAAGGTCCTCCCTCCAGTTGCATTGTGGCATTTTACTGAAAGGAAGCAGCCTCCAGGTAGCAGTTAATGGAGTTTGTGCTGCCTCGGAGACCCACCTTTGGTGTACCACAAGGACTCAGCCCCTTGCTCCCAGGCTGGCAGAGATATCTATGTAGGACTCTTGCTGAGGGAACCCTTTGATGTACTCCATCTACCCACCAGCCTTCAGGCCCCACTGATGGTTGCTAGGGTTGCTGCACTGTGCCCTGGATGTTGGGAGAGAGCAGGAAGACTCTTCTCTCATTGTTCTAGTCCCTCTACTTGGCCCTTGTGGCTTTCATTCACATCTCTACCCCGAAAATGACCGTCATTTCCTGTGCTGCTGCTATGCAGGCAGTGGCTGGTGAGACCCATCCATTCCCCAGACATGGTAGTTACTCTGGCAGGCAGTTTTCTTTTTTCCCCTCTGGGGATTTCGAAACCCACCCTCATTTGCAAGTGAGTGATTCAGCCCCTTTTTCTGTCTGTTAGGATGCTTCCTAGGGGAGGCTTTTTTCTTCCTGCCTACTTTGTGCCTGCAGTACAGTGGCTGTCAGCACTGGTCCCAGGGAGATTTTGATCCTGCTGGCCTTGGCAGGGGGTGGTGGTTGTGGTGGGCTGGATTGATCACTCCTCAAGGGCACATATGTGCAGGCTCAGTCCCTAGTGGAGAGGGCACAGCCTGCTTGGGACTCCTGTGTGGTGCCTACTCCTCTAGCTCTGCTTGTCTTTCGGGAGGTGGAGAGGCAAATCCCAGGCATCCCCTCCCCTGCCTTCACCCAGCCCACCCACCCAGGTGGGGCAAGCGCCAGGCTTCCCTGACAGGCTCCTAATACATGCTATTTGGCTTCTGGACCCTGTTTACTTCTGAACAGATAACTATTTCCATGTGATGGGAGGGTGTCCTAGAGACATAGAGGACAGTTCCCCCGGCCCATTAGACCCTTGCTTGTGTTTAGCCCTTTCATAGCAACAAGGAAGTGAGGCAATGAGGGTTAGAAGATAGACCTTAGGCAGGGTCTCTAGTGGATTCAGATGAACTGAGAGAGTTTGAGACCAAGGCCTGAGGCCATGCTAGGAATGCCCTGCCTGGCTACAGCAGTTGTGGTGATGGAGTATGAGGGTGGGGCCAGGCCTAGAGCTTCACTGTTTTTCAAGACAGGGTTTCTCTGTGTAGCTCTGGCGGTCCTGGAATTCACTCTGTAGAGCAGGCTGGCCTTGAACTCAGATCCACTTGCCTCTGCTTCCCAGAGTGTTAGGATTAAAAGTGTGTGACACCACCACCTGGGTGTGCCATGAACACCCAGCAATCTTCACTTTTTAGAGTCATAATGTTCCCCAGTTTCCACATGCCCTTCTTGTCCCAGGTCCTGGGCTCCCATCTTTCCCAGCCCAGGACTGGGTGTGCTTTTATCCTGTTTGAGGGTACTACCACAGTCTACCTCCTCACTTGTTCTAGAACTCAGAGTACCTCTGCTTCAGGCAGTCCTGACACCACAGGGCAGGGACTTGTTTGCTTTCACAAAGTGTCAGCATGTTTGATGGTGTGTGTGTGTGTGGGGGGGGGGATTGTGGTCAGTTGTGTTGGAGGAAGAGCAAAGCTGTGTAACTCCAGAGCTGAGAGGTACTTGCTGGAGTGTCGTGGAGGGGTGGGATGGATGCTCTGGTATCTGGGGGAAGTTGGCATGGTACAGGTTGGAGTGGCAGGAGGGTTGGGGGCATATGATAGGGCTTGGGACCCTATCCCAGTCCACTCTGGACTGAGTCATATTAGGGTTAAAGCATCAGCCATACCTGATGGGTGCTAAAGAAGAGCTCTTGGGCCCTTAGTCTTCTGAGATGGGTCAGGGAGCCTTCTGGGTCTATGAAGAGGGTGACTGGATGGCGGGAGTGGAGGAGGTGACACTGTGGCTTGACTATGGGAGTGCATCCTTGATAAGGATGTTCCAGTCTTCCAGAATCTGGAAGGGGACTTCCAGAACCTGCTTTGTCTAGGACAGGCCTTTCCTACCATATTTGCCAGTGGGGAAATTGAGGCACCTGGAAGGAGGTACCCTGCCACGCTTCTGTGTGCCAGACAAATCAAGAAAAACTAATCCTGGATCCTGCCCGATCTCAGCCAGATTTTTTTCCTGTCCATAGTGAGCTCTGGGTTCTCTCTGACTTTCTCTAGTCTGGTGCCCTGTGCTGTTAAAACCTGAGTTCTGAGCGGCCCCTTTAAGAGCTCCTTGTCCCAGACCCTTGCTGTGGAATGCCAGCAAGCTGTCCTCCTGTCTCTGCTAGGGTTAACAACACTTCACTTCAGCTGTGTTGTCTGGAACCGGTTCAGACTGGTTTTCTGGAAAGTGCTTTGTCTCTCTGACTGAATCCTGGGAAGGGTCATGTGGAGCCCAGTGATGTCATGGGATCAAAAACTGACTCAGCGGTTTTTGTTTTTTTTTTGTTTTTGTTTTTGTTTTTTTTTGTTTTTTCCTTTTTCTTTAAATCAAGATATGTGTGTGCCACAGGCCATGACGGTGGCATGTAGGGATGGACCAGTCTGTACTCTGCTCAGATTGTATCTCTGCCAAACAAAAGAGCTTAATGTGACCCTCACTTCTGGCTCCCTGGAGGGGAGCAGCAGGAGGAGCTCAGGCATATAGCACCTGAGGTTCCCTCTGTCCAACCCCCCTCTCCACCAATTGCAATATAGGTCTAGGTTCCTGGGCTGGTTGCAGGCCCACAGTCAGCACTGTCCCTCCACAGAAGGCCCCTTCCCAGTAGCAGCTGCTACTGCTTTCCTCCTACTTGGATTCCATGGCTTCTCAGAGATGGCTACACCCCAGAGGCCTGTGGACCCTCTTCCTGCCCAGCAATCCCGAGGGTGTGAAGAAAGTCTTGGAGGGGCTTCTTTGATTCCTTCCTTGTCCCTTCTCCAGACTTTAAGAAGGGTCTGCTTCTCCATGCCTGGTTCAAATGCTGTGTCCTCCCTTTCACATACAGAATGAGTGAAGAAGCATGTAGAACCCGCAGTCAGAAGCGAGCCCTTGACCCTGACCTAACGGAGGATGATGTGGACAGCAAGAAAATGAAAATGGAGAGAGGACCATCGGAGCTAACTGTGGATGGAGACACCAGGGTTATGCCTGAGCCGTGTACAGGCCCAGCCCATGGGTTGCTGAGGACAACAGAGACCACAGCCACAGGATCAGGCGAAGGGCTGTTAGGAGATGGGCCTGTGGACATGCGCACTTCACACAGGTGAGTGAGAAGACCTAGTGGGCCAGGCTGGAGCCTAGCAGAGGCTAGGTGTAGGTGTCCCTGAGTCCTAGGCTGGGGCTCTGTCAGTGGCAGGTCCATGAGTCTCATAGGGGTGGAAGTCCCCTGCTGTCAGTGGGCCTGCCACTTGTGGGGTTACAGGAGGACTGGAATATTCCTTTGGTGTGAATGCCTCAGGGAGGCTGGGCTACCACGCCCTGCCTATGTCACTCCTCAAAGGCAGGGCCTCCCATTGCTCTGACAGGCTTCTGCCATCTGCTCTGTGTTTTCTTCTGGTCATCACTATTTACTTCAAGGGAACTTTGCTGGTACTCAGGCTTTGTGACACTCACAGGTGGCAGCTTGGAGGAAGTCTGACTCAGCCTCCCATCAGATCTTCACTCAGAAACTCCTTTCCCCAGCATTTTTCTTCAGAACACGCTGGAATGGAGCATTTACCCCAGACTCCTGAGGTCACAGCCTCCCACTTTGTGATGAACTGTTTACCAAGTGAGGGCCAGCACTGGTGGGGTGCAGGGAACTGGTTCTCCCACATGTTCCTTGAAATGCACAGGGATTTCAGTCTGTCAGCCTTGTGCAAAGTTCAGTGATGGGACCCTGAGGACCCCCATATTGGCTGGTGTACCTTAGAATCCTGACTTTGGAGGTCAGTGGGAAAGTCCAACCTCCCTTCTGTTGAGAACACTGATTTGCCATTAGGAAGGCTTTTCTCACCTGGACAAGTGTGGCAGGATATGCCTGTCATTCCAGGAGGTGAAGACAGGAAGAGTTCAAGGCCATTCTCAGCTACATATGGAGTTGGAAGCCAGCCTGGGATGCTCAGGACCCTGTCTTAATAACAATTATTTTGCTCCTTCAAAAACTTGTCTTCTCTGGCTGCTTTTTGCTACCCAGTTCTAAACCTAAAGCTTATTTTAAAATAAGTCAAAGGGACAGGCTTGGGCTCCTTTCCCACCCTCTGACTTTCTGGGTCCTCAGCCCTCTGGTGAGACCTCTGATGGATGAACTTCCAAAGCTGAGGGAGAGGGATTAGGTTCTTTGGGGTATGCCAGATCTGTTCCATACTTTGTCTACTGTGGCCTGCTCCTCTGTGGGTGGCTGATGAAGTCCAAAGTGGAGCGTTAAGGGGCGAAAGAGCCACTTTTGTGTTGCCGAAGCCCAGAGCTACATCAGGCCTCTGAATCCCTCCCTCCCTCCCTCCCTTTTTAAGATAAAAATTCACTGTGTAACTTTGGAACCTATCCTGGAACTTGTTTTGTAGACCATGGTGGCCTCAAACTCACAGAGATCCACCTACCTCCACCTCCCTAGTGCTGGTATTAAAGTTGTGTGCCACCACTGCCTGGTGGCTGTTTGTTTCTAAACTGAAGCTGCTTAGGATGCTTATGACACTTAAGGATGCAGGGAACAGATCAACCAGATAACCCTGGAGTGAATGTTGCCTAGTGATTAGAGCCCAGAGTCTCAGCTGGTACAGGTACAGGTATGAGTGGAGAAGAAACCCAACCCTGCAGGTCAGTGGGCAGAGTGGGGGCTAGGTCACATGCTAGAGCTTTCCCTGGGCGGAATATCCCAGCCACATTTCTTGCTGGTGAAATATCTACCCTGCCTTGCAGGTTGATAACGTGACAGAAAATGTGCACTCGGGCAACCTCTGCAGTGTGGGGACAGCTCTAGTGTCTGTGTTTGTTTCCTTTGGGTGTCTGGCCAGGGTCATTTTTTTTTTTTTTTTTTTTTTTTTTTTTTTTGGTTTTTCACAACAGGGTTTTTT